AGGGTCTAAAAAGTACTGACCTCACAGTATGATTGTTCTTACAAGAATTTCTGTAATAAAATGTGTTTTGTAGCTATTAAGTATAGAGCTATAAAATCTAAACATCACTGAGCAAGTCCCAGATCTGACTGCCTCTAGATTTTGTACACTTGTCTCATTACTGACTTAGGCTATATTGCACACGTTTGTCTCAACCGCAGCAGTTGTGTGGGACTAAGAGAGGATGACTGCATAACCTGGATTCGCTATTACAAAGGTGATCTCCCTTTTACACGCAGTGATCATATTATATTAACTTCTCTCTAGAAAAACACATGCTTTAGGTGAAATGCCAGCACCTACCCATAGAGAGTCCTGGGATAGTCTGTATTCCAGTAAATTATTATGTTCACACTCTCCACAGACATCAAAGTTAAAGCCAATTGTCCCACTCGCCAAAGTTGACCTTATTCATTTTTATAGATTTGCATTCTAAATGAGCCCTTCATTAATTTTCTCCATAGCATGTTATTAATCTTCATAAATTTGAAGGCATTAATGGTACTCACTTCTACGCTATCTTTTTTTATTTATTTAATTTTTTTATTGATTATGCTGTTACAGTTGTTCTATTCCCCCCTTCATTCCCCTCCATCCTACCCCCCCGTCCCCACAATTACCCCCCCTTTAATTTATGACCATGTGTCTCAAGTTCTTTAGATTCTATATTTCCCATGCTATTCTTGCCCCCCCATCTATTTTCTATCTACTGTCTATGCTACTTATTTTCTGTACCTTCTCCCCCCCATCTCCTCCTCCCACTCCCCTGTTGCTAATCCTCCTTGAGATCTTCATTTCTATGTTTCCACTCCTGATCTAGCTGCCCTTTTAGTTTGCTTTCGTTTTAGGTGTGGTTGTTAATAACTGTGAGTTTGTTGTCCTTTCACTCTTCATGTTTTTTTTAACTTCTTTTTCTTAGATAAGTCCCTTTAACATCCTCATACTTAATGAGCGCAAACAGACCAAAAATGGCTCTAAGCTATTTCCTTATATCATATCCAAACCCTACACGGAGTCTTTAGACTCACCTCTCTTTGGTCCCTACAGTCTTTTATCCTATTTGCTTCTTTTTTTAAAATTTTAATTGTTGTTCAAGTACAGTTTTCTGTCTTTTACTCCCATCCCAGCCCAACCCCCAGCCCTCCCCACCTCCCTCCCATTTCCATCCCCCCTTGTTTTTGTCCGTGTGTCCTTTACACTTGTTCCTGCAAATCCTTCCCTTTTTGCCTGAAATTCCCTCCCCTCTCCCCTCTGGTCACTGTCAGCCTGTTCTCAATTTCAGTGTCTTTGGTTATATTTTTCTTGTTTGTTTGTTTTGTTGATTAGCTTCCTGTTAAAGGTGAGATCATATGGTATTTGTCTTTCACTGTCTGGCTTATTTCCAATAGCATAATGCTTTCCAGTTCCATCCATGCTGTTGCAAAGCGTAGGAGCCCCTTCTTTCTTTCTGCTGCATAGAATATTTGCTTCTTTTTAAAAATATATTTATTTATTTATTTATTTTTAGAGAGAGGGAAATAAATAAAAAATATTTTACTTATTTATTTTTATTTTTTTATTTATTTTATTATTTATTTATTTTGAGAGAGAGAGAGACAGTATATCACTCAATACACTGAGCCCCACTAGCCAGGGCTGTTTCTGTACATTCTCTACCCCTCTTTCCTTTACCTTTCCTGACTTTCCTCCTGTTACAAACAAGGTGGCCCTAGTAGAGTCTGTCTTAAGTGATAAAGTTGGCAGAAAGATGGGGCACTAGGGGGCTGGAAGGACATGGACCCAGTGAAGTAGCAGGTTAGGTTAGCTGGCCCTATGGCCACCCTCACATTCCCAACTGCTTCAGAGAAGACAGGAACCAGAACCTCATTGGAAAAATGAAAAGGAGACAAGTAGTCCCTGTGGTTAGGCAGAAAGATGTAGCAACAGAAGCTGAGTGAGCCTTCTGAGCAGGCAATTCACAAAGAGAAGAATATTAATAGCAAATAATGATATGAAAAGCTGTTTAGTCTCACTAGGGATCAAGAAAATGCAAACTTTTGCCTATCATATTTGTAACAATAAAAAAAGATGAACATTAACCAGTGCTGGCAAGGCTGTGTTTTCTACACCACAGTTTAGCAACATATATCTATACGTGAAGTGTCTGTCTATGTATGGCCTATGTCACAGCAACTCCAACTTGTAGGATTCAGCCCAAGAAAAGAAGTACGTGAGGAAACAAAGATATGCATACAAAGTCCTTAAAAACCTCTCCTTTGTTTATGATGTGGGACAAAGTGAGATGAGTGGAGTCGTGTGGGAAAGAGGCTAATGAGCATGAAAGGGGGGAGTAGGAAGGGAAATGAAGGAGAAACAGAGAAGGAAGGGGAGGAAAAGGAGAGGGAAAGGAAAGATGAGCAGGAATGAGCACAGAGGAGGATGAAAAAGGGAGAAAGAGTGGCTCTGTGAAAAAGGATTAAATGGAGCATGCAGGAGGGAAGAGTATATGAGCATGAGAGAAAAGTGTGGGGAAGAGATAAGGAGAAGGAGAGAAAGACAGGGTGAGAGAAAATGCTCCATCGATACGCCATCAATTCTGGTACACACATATCACACAGGCAGTAAAAGAAATGAAGCTCTCTATTATGAAACAGAAAGATGGTTAATGGTAAAGTTCAGGATGTAGGATAGCAAGCATAGTGTGACCTAGTTGATCAAAAGTGACATATAAACACAAATGCAACTGAGGGGTTACTACATGGGCATCGTGGTTCTCACAGGGTGCACTATTCTGATAGATTTATACTCTACTTCATGCTTTCATAGTTTGTCAGAATTTACTAAGTAATTTCCAGCAAAATGTAATACACTAAAATTCCACATAACTTAGATCCTTGTAATTTCCAATGAGAATTAACCAACATAGAATCAAATTAAGTAGATGCAATGGTACCACCTGCTCTCTTCTTCAAGTGATCAATTTAAACTGCTCATTAAAATGTCACTTGGGTAAACCTCCCCTGAAAAGACAAGGGAAGTAGGCTGCGAATGTAGATGTCACCCATCTAGCTGTTCTCTGGCATTTATCAAACCAAAATGCTTTTCCTCCTGAAGTCATAGCAACATTGGAGATGTAAAAAGAAGCTGTCTTAATTCAGGTTCTCCCAAAAGCAGCCCCTAAGGTTAGGACTTGGGAACAGGTATTTCACTTGGGTGTGGGGAAAGTGAGACAGAGCAGGAGGGAGGAAAGCCAAGAAGCGGTGTGTTAATGAGTAGAGTACTACAGCTGGCAACTGGGGCTCGGTCCCTTTGTGAGTCCTCCAAGGATGGTGGGGGACACATCACAGAAGTGTACCACTGGAGGAATCAAGGAAGTCAGGGGGCTTTATCCTCAGACTCCCTTCCCTCATCATTGTACTGTGGAATGAGTGCCTATGGACCAAACATCGTACTATTTGGATTATATTTATTATCTCACCAAAACCCTACAATTGTGTGTAATATTGGCCCTATTTTACAGATTAGGAATTTGAGATGCAGAAAGATCAAACCGCTTGCTGAAAATCATATAGTGAATAAGCAGCTGAGAGAGACTCTGAGTCCACTCTTGTCTCTTCCTCTCTAGAGTACAATGTCATAAAAGCCACAGCACATCCATTCTCCAAACACCTGGCACTCCTTCTGGGGTTACACAGAGAGATCTTTGCGTGTTTCCAGCCTCTCTCCTTGCAAAGAAAACATATTGAGACAGCTGCCCAGATTGTTTTAATCTTCTTGCATCAATACAAAAATCTTCTAGGTCATAATCCACCAGCCATGTAAAAATTTTATAGCATCATCATCCATGGCTACTCCCACTCCAAATACCAGTTACTATGAAATTATGCCAGAATTTGGATCAAAGTATTGGGGGGAAATTCAAGGCAAATTTTTATCTGATGAACTCATGGCATAGAATCAAGTTTCACAGAGAGCTCCAGATCCTAGTATATTAAAAAACATTCTATAACTTTACTGTGAAGAGAGCACTTTATTAGAACAAATAAAACATGCTGAGCTCTGCCGGGACACAGAGGTCATGCTAATGTGTGAGCCAAGGAGTCTTTTCTTGCTTTAGTAGAAAAGATAATAATCTGAAAATCACTAGCATCTGAGGTTCCCTTGATTTAAAATGCACATGGACATTTAAAGGTTCAGGAAATCATTGCATTGATACCTTGCCTACATTAGGCAGTGGAAAGGCCCTTGCTGCTCCCTAAATACCACTTGGGATGGTGCTGTACCCTAGTGCCTTTACTAAAGCAATGGCATGGTTCACATCTGCTGTTCCATAGGTTCCCTGGCCTCCCACTTCGCAGGGAGTCAGGAGAGCAGACAGGCCCACAAACACCTCCCCTCCAGACCCAGCTCTACAGCCAGTGGCTCAAGAAAGTCCCAGCCCCAGAAGTCCCAGAGCAGTGCACCTGCAGGAGTCCTTGCCCTAGACCCCACCACCAACCACCTGACCATCAGTCAGATTTAGAAAGCAGAGTCCCCTTAGCAGTAAACCTAAGAGGACACAGGATCTTTGCCACAGGGACAAAATATAGAATTTCTCATCCAGATCTTTCACAGAAAAACCACATAAGCATCTGAGGAAATGACAGCCAGGAATCTTATATACAAATTACCAGGATACAGATAACAAGACCCCAGCCGCACACTCAGTAGGCTGTCTGGAGTCAAAGCATTTTTATCCTCTTGGTACAGAATTTTGTAATTCTTGATCCCAAGCAAGTGTGGGCACGGCTCCAGACACATGTGATATCTATCTGCCTGGAATTGCTTTCCCTCCCAAGAATCTTATAGCAATGTATAGACCTTCCTAGGATGGGACACAGCCAGGTCTGCTCATTCTTTGGGCTCAAAGGCCCCTGTGGCAGATGCCCATCCACTAACTCCAATAAGAAAGGGAAGGGCTGGAACACAAAGGGGCACTTCACCTGGCACATTGGGCTGGAAGACTTTATTCAGATCCAAGGAGGAGGCTCTGGAATGGGTTTTCTGTGGCCGCGGTGGCGGGGTGGGAGGGTCCTCACCCCTTTTCATGGCCTCTTCTATGGAGGTGCTAGAGTAAGATCTGCAGCAAAATAAGGGAAGGTCAGAAAGGAGACAGCAAAGCTTTATTCTCTGAAGTTGGGTTGAAATGGGAAATACCCACAAAAGTCAAAGTGACTGCAAAGGACTGACAAGCTCGCAAAGCAACCATGAATTCTACTGTCCCCTGGATGCCGCTATCTGCCATAATGCCCAAACCCCAATCGTGAATCAGAATCTTTTTTAACTTCCTTGCTCTTATTATACCTTAGACCTAAATTTTCTGAAAAGGAACACTTTTTTGTGAATTGAAATCTGTTTTGACTGGAATTATTAATAAAATAGCATGTAAACCCTCCCACTTAGGTACTTCCATATTTTAGCAGAAGGGCTTCATGATATTAACTGATTACAGAACTTTTCTCCTGTTTATATGCAAATGTAATGACAGGTACATAAAGAATTGGGACAGATAAGTTGAGAGTAAGAATCAAATATTCAAGGGAATATGCCGCAAATGAAATTCAGGAGAGGAAAGCACACAACAATCAGGCTGCGAGGTCTAGTTTTTCTTACCATGAGAAATACAGATTTGGGGAAACTTTCAAAGCAAAAGCTTCCTCTTAACTTTTTCCTTCAATCTGTGACAAGGCAGTAGCTGACTAGCTACCTAGGCAGCTTCTGAGATTGTAACTCCAACAATGGCATTTAAAGAAAAATGAACTAAATAATTTGCCAAGGGTCACACAGCTAGCAAGTTGTATGGGTTCCATTCAAACTGTAGTCCATGTCTGTTTCCAAATTCCATTTTTAAAAATGTCCTTATACTGCCTTATTTAGGGAAAAAACCTTTTGGTGGTAGCAGCTACACTATTTATTAGAGACTTTATCTTCTAAATTAATTCCATTCAGTTCATAATTCTAGTGCTTGGTAATAGGTTTGTGGATGAACTTCCAATATGATTTTTCTAAGAAGTACATGTGTACATCTATTCTATTCAGCATCTCAGCCAACTTAATGTCAAAGAAGAAAATGACCTTTGAGTCAGAGATATGTCCTAGGGATAAATTAACCTCAGAAAACTGTTCTTAATATTTAGCTATTTAGAGCAGCACTCATGAAATTATCACTTATCTATCTCTATTATGTAACTTCAGTTCTTGGTAAAGCTGGTTTTCACACAGCAAGTTTCAATTTTCCTGAATGAGTTCTTCAAGGTTTCTTGGTGGTAGTATGGGTGTTCTGTTTGTCATGCAATGTTTTGGTCTTTAATAAAGTCACCATAATGGCATGTGGTGTGCTCTGGGGTGGTCCCTGTAACACAACTGGCGAGACAGGCAAGGCAAAGGCAATGCAGGAACTAGCAGGAAGAATGTTCTAATACTTTCAAATAAAATAAGAGGGAATTGACCTGAAAGGACGACAAAGTTTTCAAATGGGAACTCTTGATTCAAAAAGGAAATCAGAGATCGTAGCTAGAAATTAAAAGAATTTTCTATGCCATGTAAGTCATTCCATTTTATTTCCATATATACCCATTGTATTTATATTTGTTATGGAAAGTTAACTGACTATCATATAAGTGATACTGAAAACCTGTGGCCGCAACCAATTAAAATATAAATGTGCAGGGAATCAAGAAAATGATGAATGTTGTAGTGTTAGAATGATGATTTTCCATCTTTCCCTTACATTTCCACAAAGCTTTGTTACTCTAAAAAGGAAGATAACGATGGTTTGATTCTCTTAGTCTCAGTAAAGGCCCAGTTGGGAGTAGTGAAATAAAAACACCCAAATGAGACCAGCAGACCAATTTCTAAAAAAATAATGTATAAAATTTAGCAAGTGAGATTAATAATAGAGTATGTGATTATGAGATTTGGTAGTTTCACTTGCTTTGCAAAAGAGAGAGGAAGTCAGCAGAAGAGAAAACTGTGAGGTTCAATTTATGGTTAACATAGAACACATAAGCAAATTTCTGCAATTCAAAGGTTTTTTCTACTACGAGGGCAGATAAATGTTACTATCCCTACATCTTAAAGCCAGTACAGACTAATTTGTAAAGTATCCATTCATCCTTTTAAAAAAGGGATGAGTAAATGTGGTAACCATACAGAGAAATAATAACTATGCCTTTTTTCCTACCAAAATCAATTAGTGTAGGTATTGTTTTTTAAAATATGAGTATTGATAGCTTTACCTTCTATGAATAAGGAAACAAAACCCCAATTTGGAAAATCCAGACATAAAAGATACACTATGGAGTACCTCTGATTTACAAGAAAAACAAGATTTCCTTAAATATCAGTGTTTCAAAATATGATCAGATTTAAATTCACTTTTTCAGGAATGTGTCTAGTAGCCAAAGGAGGAAAAGTCACTGAGAACCAAAGGAAAACTCGGAGAAGACACACAAACTCTCTTATCTTACACTGCAGTCTACTGGTGAAGAGGGGTCCCAATACCATCTTCCCCTTTTCATGTTCTATTGGTTCTATTAGTGTTTCTATGTTTGTCCTTGCTCCTCCCTTCTGTTGTCTGATGTCAGCCACAGCTCTGCTTCTCTGTCTCTCCCTCTTCTGCTATCCCCTAGAGATTGAAAAACCATAAAGCCACGAACAGGCTCTAAGATAGGGTGAAACAGAACATAAGTACTGCTTCCCTGAAACTTCCTGCCTCACTGGAGAATCACCATAAGCATTTTATTTCCCAACTCCAGATTTGACCACAGACTTCTTACTTATTGGTATTTATTTTGTCATGGTAGTCAGTTTCGGTGTTGGTTACCTTTTAACCACATTTCCTTCTTTCCAAGGCTACTTCTCCCTACTTATTATCATGCTGCAACAACATGGGCATATCACACAAGCTGCTTCTTCATGGCAGGTGACCAGAGCGCAGCAGCCACCATCTTCCAGCACTAATAAACAGAAACTATGAGTCTCCCAGTAGCATTGCACACTCCAGTCAGGCCCCTCATGACAGTGAACTCATCCACATTCTAAGCTTCACATCAAAAGGAAAAGGAGATTATGGGTTGTGTGCTTTTGGTTGGAGGGGTTTATTTCTAGTCTGGCACAGGGCACAAAGGGTATTAAAAGTAGAAATTAAACAAACACTACCTGGATCTTGGTCTTGCTTTGAGACTGTTGGACTCCTTAGGAGTGGCTGAAATGAAGATTAATTGTTGTTTGCCTGAGTTTCATTTTTGCAGTTAAACAGGTTTATATACAACATCTGGACTAGTACAGAACACATCAATAGGTCAACGTGAGGTACAGGTATCCATGTGGAGAACATGACTTCTTCCACAGTATCATTATTTCAGAAATTTATTTCTAAAGCTAAAGGCACAATTAACAGGAAATAAAAACCAACACATTTTCCTTTCATCAGAACACTATCTAAGAAGCCATTCTCAAATCAAAGTTGATTAACAAAGAAATTCCAGTCTAAAAAGACAACCTTCTTAAGGGGTTATCTATTTATATAATAATGGGTTCAGACTTTGGGATTTGTTGATCTATCATAATAGCCTAGTAATAGATTCAGAACCAGTTTCCTCTGAAGACTAGAAAGAAATCTATTAGGCTATATATGTTAAGGTTTTCTTAAAATACACTACCAGCGCAGTATGACCAGAAGAAATAGCTCCCATGAGTAAATTACAATGTGCTATGCAGCTTTTCCTAAAAGAAAATATTCCTGTGGCCTATGTCTCTATGACCGAATTGTACAGAGAATACTATGGCATGAAATCATTAAAATATTTTGTTAACCACACAACTTTTTCTTATCAAATTTCAATCAAATTTCAAACTAACGCCTACTTTCCCATCCCGACTTCTTGGGAATAAGTAGAAACATTTACCAAAACATTAATCTTCTTTTGATGTTTTCAATCCTCTATGGAAGACAACTTGAAAAACCACTAGCTATGCTAAGATTTAGCAAACACTGCAAATTTTGCACCATAAAAACTCATAGAAAAAGTGCTACTAACTAGGAACAAGAACATAGTTTATATATTGTTTGCACAAATCCTTCTGGAAAGAAAATGTCTCACTGCATCATCCCCTCCTCTTTCGCAATGCTCCAAAGATAAAACCCTCCTTGGTATGAGGCAGCCTGGACTTACAAGGACCATTAAAATCTTTCAATTAGATAAGCCAGGCAGGAAGGGGAGCTGAAGTGCTAATAAGACGCAAAGCAAACAAGCAACATACATCCCCTTCCACACAGTCAGCAGCAGAAGAGATATATTTCTTCCAACCTACACATTTTAGCTTATTGTAGTAAGAGCACAGAAATCTTTAAACTCAAACTTCTGAAAAGCCTGGGCAGCCCAAGGAGTTGATCCCTGTCTTGCCCATTGTCATGGAAAACTAACTCCCCCCACCTGCCTCAGGCAACATAAGAAAGTGGCCCAAGGGCAGCCTCTCCTCCAGCTGAACTGGGTGGACAACGTGAGCAGACTCACCAAAGAGCTGGGGGCCACCCTTTGAGCAGGATGACCCAAAGCTGGCTCCTGTAGCTCTCTTCTCCCTCAGACCCCACTGCTTTCCATAAATATGTAGGTAGCAGTCTCAGCCATGTTAAAATACTGTTCAACAAGCCAGACCGTGGTGACTGTTAATTCCTTTGTCAATTACCATTATCTTTGTGTTTTTGCAGGGGTAGGAATGGGTGTGGAGGGCGGGGTAAACTCTGCCAGTGACAGATAGATGGAGTGAGGGGTACAGATGAGTGGTGGAGACCAGGCCAGGAGTCATGAGGCCTAGGTGCTCCTCCTGGCTACTACACTTACTAACTGTTAGCTCTCTAAACCTCCATTTCCTCACCTACAGGATGAGGAAAATAAAAATGCAGCCATGCCTCAGGTAGAGACGAGATACAGTGAAGGTACTTTAACAACTAAGTGTATTTTAGAATTGTGAAATACTACTGTTATAGAGTGCTTCTAGTTTTTCAAGCTTAGAATTATGGCTTCTAAATTTAGTTCCTGCTAGGACAGCAAAGGAGAGGGTAATGGAAGGAAAGAACTGCTCTACCCCATAAAACCATGGGGTGATAGCTGGTGATCAGGACAGCTGCTAGAAAGACCAATAGCAGCCTGAAGACTACAGTGTAAGGATGAAAAGGCCTAATCCACTAAGCATGACTAAGACATCAAGAAAAAGATCACCACTGTGCACTGTGTTCTCTTGAATTAGTTGGAATGTAACATTAGCTAAGAACTCTATTAGGGTCCACTAATATATATACTTTTAGCAATTAAAAGGGTAAGGGCATTAAAAATATGTAAAAGGGATACTCCCATTCACTGATAATAAAGTCCCACTCCATCTGTAACCCACCACATTGTCATTGTCATCTTCATCACCATTACTATTATTACTATCACCACCCACTAGGGAAGAGTGGTGATATCCCAGGCAGGTCTTGGTAATTCTCCACAGGTTTCTGATCAGAAAAAGCTGGAGCTCACTATTCTGGTTAAGTCTTCCATAAGCTTCTGAGTCCCTGAAAGTCCGGCTCAGCATTTGGAGCATGTGAATATCTGCAAAAAATGGTGAGGGCTTGCTATGTTGAAATCCAGGCAGACACCAATAGGCAGATCATCACTTCTCATTTAGCTGGGAAAGGGAAGAAGAATGCCAATTTCCTAGAATATTCCAGGCATGTCATCTTTCCAGGAAACAGAAATGGGATATGAAGGCAAGCCTTAAGTTTAATTCTCCAAAAGGCAGCAACTCAACTGAGGTGACCTGTCCACACGGCACCAATAGCCATTCAGAATTAGAAACCACCATCTTGAAACTCCAGTATCTCCCACTAGGAATCCAAGTCCCTTATACCCACTCCAGAACAGGGAAGCAGTGGGAAAATGAATCAGGAACCACACAGCATGTTCCCAGGCAGAATGTGAAACAAAGTTAGATGTACTTCACACAATGTGCCACACCCCGAGATGCTTTATCTGGTGATAAAGCCTCATCCTATTCAATGAAGGAATGTTAACAGCGTCCAAAGCTCGCCCCAGAGAACATGTGATGCTCATGGAAAAAAACAAAGTGTTTTCCTCAAAGGCTGCTAGAGAAGCAGCAATTTAACTTACTGCATTTAAATAACTTTTGCTAATATCATAAGGTTAAAAAAAACCTACCTCAGGCACTTCCATTTCTCCTATACAGAGCATTTCCCCCATGATGAAGGAATTCCAATCAGTTCCAAAGCCAAAACTAGGTTTGAGAATTCCTACCACTTTTGGAATCATGGTTAATCTTCATTTTCTATTTCTTAACATGGCCTTCTATAGGTAGCTGTTACCAAAATAGGCTACACATCACAATCCCCTGGGGCTGCCTAAAAATACAGATTCTTAGGCCTCATATCTAAAATCCATCATAGATTCTCATTCATATACTCTTTCGTGCTCTCTCCCCCAACCAATCCTCCTCCTCCCTCCCCTCTCCCTCTATTGTTCTCTTCTAAACCTTGAATGAACTTTGTGTTTGGGAAATATTGTACTATTACATAAGCCTCAATGTTATATTGACCCCTTTGTTCCAACTTTAAACAAATAATCCTGGGATGATAGCTAACCAAAACAAACATGATTTACTTATTAAATATCAAGAGAGATAAAAAAACACCAATTTCTTTCATGTCCTCATAATCAGAGCTCCAAATATTAACACCTTCCCTAGCCAGTGTGTTTTTTAACTAAGTTCATCTTGGATCAATGGTGGGTCCATTGAGATAGCCAAGGACACAGGCCCAGCTATCTCCATAGTTCACAGTTACACTTCCAATTCTCCAAGAACAGGGCAAACACAACTTTTATTTTTCTCTTTGGAATCCACTCCATGCAAAAGAATATTTACTTGCTTTCCTGGTGGTGAAGTATAATGAAAATATTGAGATTTTCATTTTGGAAATGCAAAGATTCCAACTATAAGCCTCCAACTGATCTACCCCACCAATTCCTTCTACATAGAATTCGCAATGGCCTGTTGAAATAAATCTTCTCAACTCCAAGCCTGCTCAATTTTATACTTAGTAACAGTGAGACTAAATTCAAACATTGATCCTTTCAATGAAACCTAAATTCAGAACTTTAAGAAATCACCCCCTTCCTGTACCTGAAAAGAAGGGATTTTTAAAAAAGCAAAAAGGTTTCCTTGTAATAAAACACAAGACAATTTTTGAGAGAAACATACATACCATCACAAATATACCAGTATTGTACTCACTAAAACTACTGCTTTTTTTTTGTTAGAAATAAATACATAAATACGTTAAAATGGTTTTCTCCTACCTGGATTCTCAGACATGTCCTTTGGTAAGGCTTCATCCGTAGTACTTTTCAAAGCTAGTGATGTTTTGTTTTAAAAGAACAGAGAGAAAGGAGAGGAAAAGAAAGAAAAAACCTGTAACATTTTATTTCTCTGGCACATTAAAACAAAGAATCTCTACTAATCACTTATGAAAATATTGTTACAAACTTCTATAATTGCTATACAACTTACCAAAACAGTAAAGTATTCTTAAAGTATGAAGCCCTGGCTGATGTGGCTCAGTGCATTGAGCACCAGCCTGTGAACCAAAGGGTCACTGGTTCGATTCCCAGTCAGGGCACATGCCTGGGTTCAGGCCAAGTCCCCACACATGGTGTTCCTCTCCCTCTCTTTCTCCCTCCCTTCCCCTCTCTCTAAAAATAAGTAAAATCTTTAAAAAATTAAAAAAAGAAGAACTCTTAAAGTATAGGAGGTTCTCCCAAGAGAACAAAGCAATATGCCAAGAGAACAAAGCAGTATGTTTAACTTTCCAGGGAGAGTGACTCTAGTGGCTAGGAGTATTATCAGAAAGTATCAAGAACTTCCCCCTTTCATTCCTGATGTCCAAATCAATGACCTGAAAATGTCTCTTAGAGTGAAACCCAGGCTTCAGTATTTTTAGAGTTCACTTGGTTATTCCAATGTTCAGCCAAAGCTAAGACCCATTAATTAATAAAGAGGGATCAGAGTACATGCTACTGTTAGACAATGTCCACTTCTACCTCTCCCAAGCAAATATTTAAATAGATAACATGCAACTATTGTTTATTAAGGGAAAACTTATTTTTCATGTTTAACTCCCATACAAAGCTATGTCAATTGCAGGTCTCTACAATAAAACCGGAAATAGTGTCACTGATTTTTAGTCTCTTCAGATAAGCCTCTCATACATGGGCAGTAAATTAATATCAGATAATAGAAGAAATATTGGCTTGAGATTTAGAAAATATTGGTTCATATTCCCTCTCTTTTTCTTACTAAGAAAATGATTCATACTGCCTGAACTTCAGTTTACCCATCTCTAAATTTTAAGAGATGAACATGTCAGTCTCCATTCAGTTTTGTGAGGATTGGATGAGACAGTGTACAGGGAAGGACAGGGTAGATTATCAAGCATTATATAGAACTATGGAGTTGGGGGGGGGGGTTCCTCCTGCTCTTCTAGATATTCCCAGGCTAACTTATCTCTGTACTTGGAGATAGCTGTAACATGGAACACTGTGCTGTACTGCTTCTCACCTGTGCCATAAGATAGGCAAATTGTTGCTGGGCTTCACATCACAGCCCTACACCCATAGGCACAGAGAATAAAGCCCAGGAATAAAAACTCTCTCCAGAAGAGAATTTCCTTGTGGACCAAACCTGTGTACAAATATGTATTTACACTCATGCTCTGGGATTATATCTGCCAAAATATGCTAAGCCTGGGGGCCAGCAGTGAGTAAGGGGCCAATGAGCTGGTTTAAGAGGGCTTTGGACACTCAAACTCTTATTACCACTTTATGAACTAGTTTTGGGACAATGGTTTGAACTACATAATTCATCCAAATGTGTTCATATACTGATAGCTGTCCTTATATGCTCTACAAGCCAAGATTCCAAGAGAAATGGAGTAAGAAAAACATAATCAGAACATCTCTAAAGGAAGAAAACTCATTCTTTCCTTACCTTGTTTGTCATTACCAGTCATATCTTGGGTAGGAACAGGAAAGTCAGTCATGTCGTTAATAGATAACTTCTTGAAAAAGGAAAGAAAATTCATTATACAGATTAAACAGAAATTAAGTGATCTGCACATATGATGAAAATGTTTTAAAAGCTATATATCTTGTCAATATCTCTGTCTTCAGTAAGCCCTGACATTTAATACAATTTTATTTTATTTCAGGTGCCTAGTGACAGATAATCTGTATTGAAATATTTATATGCATAGAGGGAAAAAATAACAATTCAGATTAAGTCTGGCACATGTATAGATCACATATTAAATCTGAATCCAGTATGGGATGCAGCCAGAGAGTCCCATCTTGTAGCATTTCCCCATTCAGTCAAGAACAAACCTGAATTCTATGTACTTTTTCACAATCAGAGAGAGGTTCTGACAAGTGGCCCAATAAGGTAGGTATATTTGCCAGAATCTGTTAACCAGAGGGTGTTTTACCTTGATTCAAATAGCCTCCTTACCCTGGAATAAGGTAATTTTACTGATGAGTGGAACAAAATTTCCTCCTAACTCACTTATGGGAAAAATTTTCACTTATAAGATGAATATCCAAATTAATCAAGTATTGATTAATTTAAAATTCTGTTTAAAATCTATTACTATGAATTTATTACTTTTTTTAGAGACTGTGGATTTTTTTAAAGATTTTATTTATTTATTTTTAGACAAAGAGGAAGGGACGGAGAAAGAGGGGGAGGGAAACATCAATGTGTGGTTGCCTCTTGTGTGCCCCCTACGAGGGACCTGGCCTGAAACCCCAGCATGTGCCCTGACTGGGAATTGAACCAGCAACCCTTTGGTTTGCAGACCAGTGCTCAAGCCACTGAGCCACATCAGCCAGGGCTATAAATTTATTTCTTAGAAAGTCTCAATTACAAGCATGCTAAGACTTCTGATAGATTTAAGAATAATAATAGTACTGCTTGGTGGTAATATGATCTATTTTTTAATTCTCAAGCAGGACATTCTTGGCATTATGATGAAGCACCCAGATGTAATTTCCTATTCAAAGTCTACTATCTCCAACGGAACAAAGAATGTATCTTAACAATCCCTTTCACTTTCTTCTTGCACCTAGATTACAAGCCAGATCCTTAGTAGAAGAAAATGACTTAGGAGTAGAAAGGCAGATAAAAAGAAAACCAAAAAAGAGTTGAAATTTTTTAAAGCTACATAAATGGAAAGATCCTGTGCTCATGAGTCAGAAGACTTAATATTATTAAGATGGCAATACTTTCCAAATTCATCTACAGATTGAATGCAATCCTTCTCACTTTTCTGCAGAATTTAGCCAGATAGTCCTAAATTTCATATGGAAATGCAAGAAATCCAGAATAGTGGAAATATTCTTGAATAAGAAGAACAAAGTTAAAGACTCAACTTCTCAATTTCAAAACTTACCACAAAGTTACAGTAACCAAGACTGTGATGGCTGAAAGGGGGGGATTAGGGAGAATGGATACAACTGACAACTGTACTTGAACAACAATAAAAAAGTGGAAAAACAAACAAAAAAAAGACTGTAAGACTAGCATAATGACATATAGATGGGATAGAACCAAAAACACATAAATAAACCCTTACATTTATGACCAAGGGATCTTCAACAAAGGTGCAAAACAACTGAATGGGGGAAAATTGCTTTTTCAGTAAGTGATATTGGAATTAACTAAATACCCATACACAAAAGAATGAAATTAGACCTCTTCCTCACAGCCTGCACAAAAATTAACTCAAAATGGATTACAAACCTAAATGTAAGACCTAAAACTATACAATTCTTAAAACAAAGGGCTAAACCTTCATGATCTTATATTAGACAATGGTTTCTTAGATATGACACCAAAAGCACATACAACAAAAAAGAAAACCATAGATAAACTGAATTTCACCAAAATAAACATTTATGTTGCAAAGCATGCTATCGAGAAAGGAAAAAGAAAAACCAAAGAAAGACCAAATACTTGCAAATTGCATACCTAGTCAGGAACTCATATCCAGAATATATAAAGCACACTTATGACTCAATAACAAACAACCCAATTCATAAGCAAAGGATTCCAACAGACATTTCACCAAAAAAGATACACAGATGGCTAATATTGTGTTTTGCCATGTATAATGCACACTGTTTCACCCAAATATTTGAGGGAAAAATAAGAATGCATATTATACATGGGTAGTACTAATTTTGTAGCTATATAAGTGTTTTAAATTCTTTTATCTATGTTTATGTGTTAAAGTAAAAGTGCAACTCTAGAAAGCAATAACGATATCCATATGTAAAGTAATACTATTTTTGCTACTGGTACATAAAATTGCTTATACTGTAATATGTTCAAAAATAAATGCTAAAATTCCCTTATAATACAAAAAACAAGTTTCTAAATATAAGTAAATAAGTAATTTAATTTAAAATTAAAACATTTTTTTCCTGAAAGTTTGGACCAAAAACACGGGTGTGCATTATACACAGCAAAATACAGTTAAATACACAAAAAGATGCTGAACATCATTAGTCATTAGAAAATTAAAACCAAAATCATGAAATGCCACTCCACTCCCACTAGGATAACTAAAATAAAAAAAGACAATAGCAAGTATTACCAAGGACATGGGGTAATCGGAACCTTCATACATTGCTGGTAGAGGAATATAAAATGGTGCAGCTGCTTTGCACAGCAGTTTGCTAGTTCCTCAAAAAAGTTAAACACAAGTTATAATATGACCCAACAATTCCACCACTAGGTATGTACCTAAGAGAACTGAAAACATGTTCACTCAAAAACTTGTACAGGAATGTTCATAACAGTAATTTTTTTCTGATAGCCCCAAAGTAGAAACAACCCTAATGTCCATCATCTGAAGGATGGAGAGACAAAATTGGGCATATCCATACAATGGAATACTATTCATCAACAAAGAGGAAAAAGGTACCAATACAACATGAATGAACTGTTAATACATTATAGTAAGTGAAAGAAGCTAGTCACAAAAGACCATATATTATATGATTCTGTTTATATGAAATGTCCAGAATGGGCAAATTTTGAGACAGAAAAAAAATTAGTGATTACCAGCGGATAGTGAATGACTGACTGTTAATGACTACAGGCTTTCTTTTTGAGGTGATGAAAATGCTCTAAAATTAAGACTACATTGATGGTTGCACAGCTGTTCCTCTATTAAAAAACACTGAATTGCATAGTTTACATGTGTAGTTTAAATTGTATAGTTAAATTGTGGTACATGGATTATATCTCAGTAAAGCTGTTTACAAAAGAAAGAAATCCAGTAATATAATAACCCCGCTTAAGAGGAGTACACCTGAAATTCTAATCTTTAATTCTTGACAGGACATGGTTACAGCTCTGCTGTCTTTAGAAAAAGATGTACTGCTGAGCAAACTTCTCATGGCCTGAATCAGCTACAGCTTCTTTCATAACACAAACATCTATATGTAGTCATCCCTCACAGGGCTGGTACCAACGTCTATTTAAACTCCATGCCATGCATTCATGAAAGCTTAAACAGTTGTAGAAAGAACAATGAATTAGTTTAGAAGAATGTGAAATATTTAATCATAGCTATTAAAATCTGACCTATACTGCTCAAATGACCAAACCATTAATCAACCATAGTAGTATACCCCTGAATTTTATTTATTACATCATTATCTAAGATGAAGCACCTCACCTCTGAAAATAACAGTTTCTTGGGAAAAAGGTTTTTGTTGTTCTTTTGCTTTCCTGTTTGTGTAACAGTGAAAAATTGTTAACAGTGGGAAATTGCAGCCCAATGCACCATTCCTTTGATATTGTTTCTGCAACTGAGGGTTCTAAGTAGCTTTTAACTCGCCCTGTCAAAGGAGCCAGTTTAAAGATATGAACATATATAAAACTTAGCTGCACATAACATTCATCTCTGTAAGTCAGTAATTAATTTCTCCAAAAACTAGCATTATCTGTCTCTGTTGGAAGGGTAAAGGCCATTGGATACCATGGCAAGCTGGAACAAAACATTTATCCAGAGGATAAAAACATATGACACTTTTAATAGGTCACCTAACCCTCATAATTTTACACAGGCAGGGGGATTTGGCAAAAAAATAAAAATAAAAATAAAAATAAAAATAAAAATAAAAATAAAAATAAAAATAAAAATAAAAATAAAAATAAAAATAAATAAAGAAAAACCAGGGCAATTGCACCAGAGAGCTGTGGAGGTTATGTGTCCTGGCCTGACAGACAATCCTCTCCAGACGCTGTCAGCAACCCCAGAGTAGACTGAGGTCCATCAAAAGTGGCTATTGTTACATGTTTGTCCATCACATGTGATACACAGAAAAAAAGAAATTTAAAAGGCCAAAACTCTTCAAAAGCACATCTATCACTCCTTCTGAAATCACTTTTCATCACATCTTTTTCCCATGAGTAGAAATCTGTTGAGAAAAATAGCATGGAGGCTACAACTCAAAGAAAGGAGCAGAGAGGCCAAGAAAGCTGTTAACAGACAGAGCACCGTAGAAGCAGGCTTGATTTGCTCATAGAGGAGCAGAGGATGTCACTGAAAACACAGACTATGGGCATGGCAGCCCCACCGAAAAGAATAATCACACACAGTGACAAGAAATTAAAGACATGTTCTGGTATACTGCCTTTGAGTTCTACCATCTTGCAATGGTTTTAACTAGGGTCAGAGAACTATAATAGGAGTCTGTGAATAAATCTCCATTTATTAAACATTTCCAGATTTTTTAGGACAGGAACAGCAGATATCATAAGCTGAAATCACTGTAATCATGATAATGACTGATGATGGTGCTGACATTAACAATAACCATAATAACTCCTATTTATTGATGTATACTGAAGAACCACTAAGCATGTGGCCAAGCCCCTACATCAGTGGCCCACCGTGGTGGGAAGTCTCTGGGTTTCTCTTGAGGATCATCCAAATCAGTCTTCATCTGCTCCAAAAGCTAAAAACCCTCAGGGAGAAGGCAGCTTTAAATGTGGTTAGTGGCTCTCAGTTACAGTTCTCAAACCTCATCTCAAAACTGTTCTGGTTCATTATATTTTCTTAATACTTAGCTACTAAAAATATAACTTTACAATGTTTACTTCAGAATTAAAGCTTGGTTAAAGTAAATTACTTGGCTAGTATTTTTCTGGCCTAGTTTGGCTGCACCTCAATTTCACCTCTAGAAAGTCAAGACTATTATGCTTATTTTACCAAATCTAGTTTTAGGGAGAAAAGAAAAACCATAATTATAGATACATCTGGTATCTACATTTGCAAGGATGATCCCCATAGTAAGTACTAACTATGAAGAGAAAATGTTATAAAAGTAGATTTTCCAGAGTTTGTAAAACACATAGGCTAATGGATTTAATTCTAACACACCCTTAACTCCTTAACATATGAAGATCTTTTACCTCCATCCGATTCACATCATGGGGTTGTTGGTTTGCTGGCATGGAATCAGAATAAGAATCAAATAAGGTACACTCCCACTTGGTCTTAGGAAAGGCTAAGAAGAAACAAAAAGAATGCATATGTCATAGCAGGTACTGTTTCCTATATAACAACAAAATCAGCTAGCTCCGATATACTAGTTATGGCACTCATCATGCTGATGTAGTATTTTAAGTTCTCTATATGTACAACGTGGAACTCCTATCACCCCATTTAAACGTGATGAAACTGAGAAACCAGGGAGTTAAGCAACTTACTCAAGGTCATAGAGTTGGTAAATCGCTGAGCAGGAACTTGAATTGCCAGCAGTCCTGCTAGAAGGTCCATGCTTTTGGCATTTAGTGTTGTAACATAGTCATCTTCCACATTAACCATCACTATCACTAAAGTTTTAACTAATGCTACTAGCATAATGTTTTAGTAGTAACTATGGTGATACCAGAAACATTAAGGAAATTCTACATTCTAGCTATTCTTGTTGGAAATAGCTGAGATCTTATAATATGTGCCCAAGAAAACTATAAAATACTCCTTTCTTCTGATTAGAAAGAATAACAAAAGAGCACAGGTTCTTACTGATTTAGAAGTAAAGAAATAAGTATCATGTTATAAATCTCTAACACAGGGGCTGTTAGTTGGGAGACTGACTGGATTAGCATGAGGAAAACTGATACTACTAAGTAAACTGATAATTAACACTCAGTGCTGTTTCTTAGAAGTGGATTGTTTCATCACTTTTGCACAAAGTAATTAAAGAAGAAATGTTTTAACAACTAGAAAATTTGTCAATATTCCAGAGAGGAAAAGCCGATTAGGGTAGACAATAAACAAAAGTTACAAATCAAATTTGTCAAGACCAGCTATTAAGAAATTTTAATACTATGTTGATATTATGATTTATAATAACAAATATGTATTTGATCTTCATCACCATTTCTGGCACAGAGCTCCCACACTCCTAGGAATTTAATAAGTAATGAGAGCAATGGTGTCTCTTGTTATGTTAATGAAGAGCGACTTTTGAAACCCACTATAGGGTGTTCACCAGGTTGCCATGTGGTTAGAGGACTGGAACTTTCAGCTCCAGCCCCTTATTTCCCAGGAGGGAGAAAGGTGAGGTTGAATGGCCAATGACTTGTCAATCATGATTATTTAATGAAGTCTTCATAAAAACTCAAAAGGATAGCTAGTAGATCTGTTTGGGTTTTTTTTTTTTTTTTTTTTTTTTTTTAGAAAACTTCCTCATTAGGAAACCAGACTACTTCCATGTGCTGTCATGCTGGGCCCCAAGCTTCAGGAAGACAAAAGCTCCTTTGTTCGGGACCTCACCCTTTGTATCTCTTCCTTGGCCTGTTCATTCATATCCTTAACATCACTTGTAATAAATTGGTATTCTAGTGAGTAAACAGGTATTCCTGGATGTTATGAACCATTTTAGCAAATTAATCAAACTCAAGAAGGGGATCCTGGAAGCCTGATTTATAGCCAGTCTGTCAGAAGTACAGGTAACAGCCTGGAGTCATGACTAGCATCTCCTGGGGGCAGAACCCTTTACCTGTGGAACCTGATTCTATCTCCAGGTAGATAGTATCAGAATTGAGTAGAGTTCTCACACACAAGAATTGCTTGTTGGTGTGGGGAAGCATCCACACGTACACATCGGAATTGGGTCCAGGAAATCTCACCATGTTTAAAAAAATTTTTTTGCATCAAGTGTTTAAAATAAATTGGCATTGATGTTAATCCTTTTTCACCCTCCCATCTTCACCAGGGTTTGAAATACCAACTTCCCTCCACAGTAAAGTACTGGCCAGTAAGCAACAGCTACCGTAGACAGTTGAGTACAAGTAGTTTATATTGCTCATTTGGTAACTCTGGTCTGAACTTCACTGATGTCAGATCAGGCGACCACAGGCCCTGGTGATTTTTTTCTGACTATAGCAGATGGTCTCACTCTTTCCCTAGTAAAACCAGCAAAACACTTTTCCAAGTACTATTTCTCAATCCAATCCCAAGAGCAGTTTTAACTGAGATAAGACTTCTCTTTCTAGTTTACCAGTGATCTCACTAGAATTGCATGACTAATGCCCTATCATGAGGGGGTCTTTCTAGGTAAAAAGCTAATACTTTCAAAAACAACGGATGCCATAAATTAACTGCTAAATCTCCCTCCAGCATGTCCTCATCTCTGCATCTCCACTGTCACCTCCCCAGTGCCAGCCTCTCCACAACTCCTGACTGGACAACTGCCATAACCTGGTCTTCTGGTTTCCGCCCTTGCTCCTCAAAAATTGCTCTGTGGTGAGCAACCAGCAGGATCCTTTCAAACAACAAATATGATTGTGTAAGTTCCTGCTTGAAACACGTCAACATCTTTGCCCATGATTTAACCTTATCCCCATCCCCTCCAGCCTGGGGTCTTTGTGCTCCAGCTACTATGGCCTGAACTTTACATACCTCCCATGCTCCAAGCCCCGTCTCAGGGTTTCTGCAACATACGTGCTGTCCCCTCTGCCAGAGCCCACTCTTCCCCCTCCTTCACCTACATAGCCCTTAGCTCATCCTTCCTGTCTCAGCTCAAACATCTAAGGAACTCTTACCTAAGGTTACACACCCTCTTAATGCAGCCTTACATGAGTCACTGGCTACTTAGCAACTGCTGTTCTCATGAGGATGGAACAAGGAAAGATAATCTAAGACCTTTTCCAGATCTAAGCACAAAAGGTATACTCTTGATGACTAATCACATTTACTTTTGACACTGTTCCGTCTTGCCGATAATCACCCATGACTAAGCTCTCATGTTTTTAAGAGACCTTTCCTGCCTAAAAAGTGAGAAAGGTTATTGAAAGCACCAGATGTTTCTGCACCCTTTCAATGGAAGCTATACTTCTCTGAGTAACACAAATCAGATCACTGCCCACTTTCTCTGAAAAGGGCAAGAGAAACTGTTAATGTGTCCAATCTTCTAAAGGAATTGATATGTTTCAGATACACCATGACTTTTTCCTATCCAAAGGGTTTGTGGTGTTAACTGTTTTATTACTAAGAAAGACAAAGAGAGTTGACTTCTATTCCAGTCTTCTGGTGTGCTAGAATGTTCCAGATCTTTATCTGATTGTAGTAATATGGGTACACACATAAGTAAAAATTCATCAAGTATATGTTTAAAATTATAGCTCTTTGCCGATTTCACTGCATGTAGTTTTTTTTTAACTTTTTCGTTATGTATAACAGTTCTATTTCATTTCATTGCCCAAGGCCACTTGGGGACACTGGGATGCACCTAAAGATGCCAAATCATCACTTGGCTGTACAGGAAGATAGTCCTCTTCATTCTATATCAGCTAAGAAATTTAGTAGTTGCCTACACCATAATCTTCATGAAAGGGTAAGTGACTTTGGTTCAAATCCATCCAGAGAGTACTAGAACGAAAATAGCAAATGGCTTACACACAGACCACCCCTATTATTCACATTGTAAGATATGAAGATCTGATATTGGTTAAAAGGCAATAACTGTAGATACAAAGGACTCCCTTTGTACCTACAAAAGGTACTGGTACTGGTACGGACTCCCCGGTACCAGTCTGTGGCCTATTAGGAACTGGGCCGTAAGCAAAGCTCAACCGAGATCCTCCTCCCATCTCCCTCCACATCCACAGTGGGAGAGTGAAGTTCACCTGAGCTCTGTCTCTTGTCATCTCCCCACCAGCCCCTGCTCCATGAAACCAGTTCATGGTGCCAAAAAGGTTGGGGACCGCTGCCCTAAAGTGTCTGGACACTATTAAAGAAACAAAACTTTCTTGTAAGGTCTGCATGGAAAATGTCTGAGGATTACAATTGATAGTGAGGCCTTACCTGCTTGCAAGTATTCTGGCTGCAGAGTTGGAGGGAGGGTCTCAGGCAGAGGATAGCCGTTCTTCCGGGCCACAATGAGATGAAATGCAGCACAGAACTCAGGCAGGGTCAGGGCTCCATCACAGTCAGCATCACTAAGTTCCCTAAACATAACAGATGCCATGAGTACCTAACACCAGGCTTAGAGGAAAATTTACTCAGCTTCAAACATACAAACACAATTTCCAGGTTCTCTGGTGGTGAGCCTGCTGAGCCCCAAAACCCTTATGAAATCTCAAGGGACCACTTAGAGGAAGAAATAGTATGATTGATAGCACTGGTATCAGTGGCACTTTATAAATAAAACTTTAAGTTCTTCAGGTTCTCTGGTAAGTCTGTTTTACAATTCAGAGTACACAAGATAAGCAACCATGACACAAAAAGTAAAATGATGCCCAGAATTCCACAGTTGACAGCCTTTTGGTGAATGTGTAGTGTGAAGAGCTCCTGACTTGGTGCTCAAAACTGTCAAGAGGATGGGCTAGCCCCAGACCTTTCATAGTTATCTCAGCCACTGTACAGTTACTAGAGCTCAGGAATGAACGCCTCATTTTTAAGCTTTAAGGAAAAACCTTGAACTTTTCAAGTCACAAAAATGTTGTATCAAAAATTTGCTTGAGAATCCCCCCCTGGGAAAATATAAGTAAGCTCAATAAATACCAGTTGGATGTTTTCAGATAAAACTAGCAACTAAGGGAGGCTGGAACCAGATAAGACAGAAAGGAAGAAAGGGATAGTCTTGAAAAGGCTTATCTTTGCTTCAGTCATTGTTTTCCACTAAAAGCACAGACCTATTTACTCACCACAAAAGAAACCTATTTGCCAAAGTAATTAAGACCCTCTAAACTCAACCAGTCTCTAAGGTATACAGAGACAAGTATACTTGTGTTAGGACAAGTAGAGAGATAAGACATATGAAGATGTACTAGGAAGGTGTTACTATTTGAAGAAAAGAATATCGAAGGTAAGCTCCATTCACATCCTCCTTCCTCTAGAATATTTAAAATGCACCAGCCCTGAAACAGCAGCTCCTCGGGCTGAGGATTACAGGGACTGCTGCCCATGCAGGATGGAGACAATACCATTCAGCTTTCGTGTATATGTCTCCACAAAAAAATAGGAAGCCTTATATCATTATGTTAAGACTGGGAATTCTGCCCAAACAGACTGTATTCTTCTGAAAATGATAACTTCTTTTTTTCCCCTAGCTTTAAAATCAAATATATGGCTTCTTGTTAAAATTATGGTAGAATATATTGCTAATGAATAAATCTACCTCAGGATCCCAGGTACACTGGCATGCACAAGGATTATCGCAATAGTTTTCCAATAAAATGCAGCTGGCTGGTGTAGCTCAGTAAGTTGATCTTGGGCCTATGAACCAAAGATCACGGTTGGATTCCCAGTCAGGGCACATGCCTGGGTTGCAGGCCAGTTCCCAGCAGGGGATGCACAAGAGGCAACCATATATTGATATTTCTCTCCTTCTCTCTTTCCCTTCCCCTCTAAGAAAAAGTGATAAATTTTAAAAATCTTTCAAAAGATTTATTTTATAAATGCAGAAAACATGATAACCAATTTTAAGTGCTATCGTAATTTTTTGTAAATCTTCATGAAAAAAGTTTACATCAATATCCCAGTGTTTTAATTATATCTTTAGAGCTGTGCAGCCTCTGGCCCAGTTGTGAGGAAGAACAGCCCCCACACAGCTGGGAGTTTATAGAGACACCAAACATTTTCATAAATGCGAATGGAGCCATCTGCACCTTCTTGGCACAGCCCATTTGGAGCCAGGGCTGCGGCCAGCTCGGCAGCAAGGTGCAATTCATGCCATAGCTGCAAGTCTAAATTAGGGCTCAGCTGATAAACACCAGCCAAATATAGGAATCTCACACGCAGATAGAATAGTTAAATTTAACTTAGTTCCAAGACATTTGTGGACCTTCTGTTCACCTGGCCTGATAAAATAATATAAAGAATAGCTTTTCAGTAACCTCTTGTTACTTGCATCACACCAAGTAGAAAAATCTGAAAATAAAATACACAAGATGGAAATTCTCATGTGCCCACACACATTATTGCTTAGACTGAAAAGGGATCTTGATGAGGAAAATAACTAGGAAATTTTAAAAATAATAGCTAATATGGCCCTGGCTGATGTGGCTCAGTGGATTGAGTGCCAACCTGTGAACCAAAGGGTCACTGGTTCAATTCCTAGTCAGGACGTATGCCTGGGTTGCAGGCCAGGTCCAGTTGATGTCTCTCTCCCTCTCTTTCTCCTTCCCTTCCCCTCCCCTCTAAAAATAAATAAATAAAATCTTCAAAAGTAAATACTAGCTAATACATACAGTGTGCAGTATGTGCCAGACACTGTTCACTGATTGAGCTTTTCATACAATAACTTAATTTTCACAGCAATAAAATTCTAAATTCTATTCACTCTCTTACTTTGTTAAAAAACAAACAAACATACATTAGTCCTGGCTGGTGTGGCTCAGTGAATTGAGCATGGGCCTGCCAACCAGAAGGTCACCAGTTCCATTCCCAGTCAGGGCACATGCCTGAGTTGCAGGCCAGGTCCACAGTGGGGGGGGCACCTGAGAGGCAACCACACATTGATGTTTCTCTCCCTCTTTCTCCTTCCCTTCCCCTCTCTCTAAAAATAAATAAAATGTTTTAAAAAATCATTCAAAAAATAAAACTTTTGAAATGCAACAGTAGGAACTAAAGAATGAATATGGATGACTGTATCATACAATGTGGCATTAATTGTACTTACCATATATAGGAGAGTTCTGGAATGGAAAGCTTTGATTTGGTGAAGAAGTTCTTGGCCACTGAACCTGTCAACAGCCATTGTTTAAATAAATCATTAATTAATATCTAGAGTAGCTTTTATATTTAATGTCAATGAATCACCATTTTTTCTTTCAACAATCCCTACCATGTAACCACAAACACAACATTAAAGCAACTATGAATCATGTGGCTAGAAAACAAAGTGTGAACAGCTTTTTGAAAGAATATGTCAATTACAACAGGGCAAAAGAAGCAATGATGTAATTCTTATTATGACATGCAAATTATGAGTTCCTGTTTCATTTTTACTGAAAATGTGCAAAATTTTACTAAAAACTCAAAAGACAAATTTCAAAATTATTAAAGTAAAAACCTGTCAAGTATTTTAATGAAAACATATTACAGAATCATGGTAGAAAACAGAAAAAAAGAAGAAAATTAACACCATTAATCTCATCACACAGACATTAAGACAGGTCTCTTAAGCAGAAAAAAAAAACAAAAAACAAAAAACAAAGACACTGAAATAGAGAACAAGGGATAGTGACCAGAGGGGAGAAGGAAGGGAAGTTAAGGGGAAAATGGGGGAGGGATTTGGAGGAACAAATAGGAAGGACACAGGGACGAGAACTAAGGGGGGTGGAAATGGGAGGGAGGTGGGGAGCAAGGGGGGGGGGGAGGCTGGGATGGGAAAAATAGACAAAAAACTGTATTTGAAAAATAACTAAATAAAATTTAAAAAAAGACAGGTCTCTTGAGAAAGAGTTTTTGTGAGATAAAGCTCTTTGATGGCTCTTTAAGAAACTTATACAGGAACCTCTTGCTACTTTCTTGATTCAATGTAAATTTATCGGTATCAATTTATATCAGGTAGTCATTCCATTTTACATGTTACAGAGCTGCACTTAAGTCCTAACTGCACTTAAACTGCTGGACCCAACCATTATTGAGATTGCAATTTGTAGGCTTTCAGCTCTCAAAATAATTTCACAATTCAAAAGCCTCAATTCTAACACAAAGAATAGTTGAATCAAAGCCCCAAGCTGTATTTTAAGCTGGTTAAAGTCAAAAGTCATTCTATGGCAATTACAAGTCTTCTCATTGGCCTCAAAACAATGAATTAAAATGGATCCTAAAGCAGGCCTATCTTCCTCGGATAGATTATGAAGGATCAAAGGCAAAGGGCCCTATATGCCATACAATGGAATTACTCAGACATAAAAAGGAATAAGGTTCTGACTACATACTACAACATGGATGAACCTTAAAAATATTATGCTAAGTGAAAGAGGTCAAACACAAAAGACCACATAGATTATTTCATTTACATGAAAAGCCCTGAAGAGGGACCTAGCTGGTGTAACTCAGTGGATTGAGCATGGCCTATAAACCAAAGGGTCACCAGTTGGTTTCCTAGTCAGGACACATGCCTGGGTTGCAGGCCAGGTTTCCAGTAGAGGGCATGTGAAAGGAAACCACACATTGATGTTTTTCTCCCTCTCTTTCTCCCTCTCTTCCTTCCCCTTTCTCTGAAAATAAATAACATATTTTTTTAAAAGCCCAGAATAAGCAAATCTATATAGAAAGAAAATAGCTTAGTAGTTACTTAAGGCTGGGAGGTGGGAAGAGCAGGAATAAAAAATAATTGCTAATAAGTAGGTGGTTTATGGAAGAAGGTAATGAAAGCCTTCTAAATTTAAATTCTGAAAATAATCTGTGAACACACTGTATACGAGAGCCACTGAGTAGTACAATTTAAATGGGTGAATTTTATGGTATGTGAATATCGAAATAAAGATGTTTTTAAAAAGAGATATCACCTAATGACAGTATATGAAGCCCTTCTGGCCTTGGTCAAACTCAGTTTTTTAAAAAGCATTTGTGAGAATGATCAGGGACATCTGAACAATGAAGACTTCATAATAAATACTAAGGAATTCATTTTTTAACATGTGCCAATGAATTATGGTTATGCTTTTTAAAAAGGCTTTTTCTTTAGAGACACAGCCTAAAAAAATAATACAATAATGGCCCTGACTGGTGTGGCTCAGTGGATTGAACACGGGCTGTAAACCAAAGGGTCAATGGTTTGATTCCCAGTCAGGGCACATGCCTGGGCTGTGGGTCCGATCCCCAGTGGGGGCCACATGAGAGGCAACCACACATGGATGTTTCTCTCCCTCTTTCTCCCTCCCTTCCCATCTCTAAAAATAAATAAATAAAATCTTTAACAATAATAATAATAATAAAGAATACAAGAATAAACTCTGTGTTTTTAAATGGGAAAAGGACTTGGACAGACACTTCTCCAAGGAAAACATACAGAATATCCAGAGACACATGAGGAGATGCTCAATATCATTAGCTATCAGAGAGATGCAAATTAAAACCACAATGAGATACCACTTTACACTGGTCAGGATGGCTATCAAAAACAAAGCAACAAACAACAAATGTTGGAGAGGGTGTGGGGAAAAGGGGACCTTAGTTCACTGTTGGTGGGATTGCAGACTGGTACAACCATTATGGAAAACAGTATGGAATTTTCTCAGAAAACTAAACATCGACCTGCCTTTTGACCCAGCAATTCCACTGCTAGGATTATATCCTAAGAATCCTAAAACATCAATTTCAAAGAACCTATGCACCACAATGTTCATAGCAGCACAATTTACAATAGCCAAGAGTTGGAAGCGACCTAGGTGCCCGTCAGTAAATGAGTGGATCAAAAAATTGTGGTACATATACACAATGGAATTCTATGCAGCAGAGAGAAAGAAGGAGCTACTACCCTTTGCAACAACATGGATGGAACTGGAAAGCATTATGCTGAGTGAAATAGGCCAGGGATTGAAAGACGAATACCATATGATCTCACCTTTAACAGGAAGCTAAACAACAAAACAAACAAGCAAGCAGAATAAAAACAAAGACACTGAAATAGAGGACAAAGGGACAGTGACCAGAGGGAAGAAGGAAGGGAATTTAAGGGGGGAAAAAAGGGGAGGGATTTGGAGGAACAAATATGAAGGACACAGGGACGAGAACTAAGGGGGTTGGAAATGGGAGGGAGACGGGAGCACGAGGGGGGGGCTGAGATGGGAGAAATAGACAAAAAAACTATACTTGAAAAATAACTAAATAAAATTATTAAAATTAAAAATTAAAAAAAATTTAAAAAGAATAAACTCTGTGTTTTATATGCTCACAACTGTAAACTTACTTTTTCCTACCCCATATTTTCAAATGAAACAATCTGGTAACTGCCTCAAAATCATCTGGGGTGAGAGAGGATATAGATAAAACAAAATCATTGGGGCTATGTGATAGGGGTTTGTTATACTAGCACCTCTAGCCATATCTATATCTGAAATTCTACAAAATAAAAAAGTTAAAAGAAAGTAAAAATATTCCTAACGGCCACCTATTTGTATTTGTCTAATCATTTGTATACATTGTGAAGAAACTCACTGAAGCAGTGGGTAAGATTAGCAAGCAGTCAGTACTTGTGATCTGTGTTCCTGCTTATTTCTTTAAAATCATGTTGTTAGCATTATTAATTTGTTGTATCTACAATATTCTAGCTTCAATGAAGCCATTACCACCAATCAAAAAATGACAGCTGCACTTATACAAGTATATTTCAATTATACACCTACTTCACAAAAGAAAATTAATCTTAGTCCTCACTTCAATATCAGGTTACAATTATTAAGGACATATTGTTATTCTTCAGAATGAAGTAAAAAAAAGTTTTATGAATTTTTCTTCCCGAATCTATGATTTCACTGTTTGTTTAGTTAGTCTTCAGCTCAATAAAATGTAGGCACGCAGGAATTAAATCAATTCCTCTCAGCTTGAATTTTATATAAGACTTCAACAAGAATACATATTTCTGAAGACAACCCAGAAGAACTGACATGTGGACATAAAAATGCTGGCCAAATTTTCCTCCCATATCTTAATTTCTCTCCGAAAAACCAGAGGAGAAAGTGCTGAGCCAAAGAAAACGAGTATGAATTTGAACTTCTAAGGCATATATTAATATAACATAAGGAGACTGTGATGCTAGGTCTACAAGGCTACACCACATCTTTCTCTAACTCTAATATAATTAGTAACCAATTAAAGATGTTGCCTTGGTGTCACACCCTATCCTGTTAAGAACTGCCCCAGCTAATAAATCACAGGGTCTAGTCTAGGTTCCCCCAAATTCCTATGTAACCCCTTTAAAACTAAAACATAATTTCCCAAATGTCATTCCCAAGCCTTTTTATGCATGGTTTGTAGTTGATCTTACAGGGAAACAAATCGAAGTCACAGAAGGTTGTCATACACATTTTGTACGAACCACTTCTCAAGACGTGTACTGTTATTTATTTGAGACAATGATCTGGGATGCACATTCTCACCCATCAGCCTTTAGTACCTGAAATGAAGGAACCCGGGTCTGGCTGAAGGGATCGGAACTGATTGACATAGTACTCTCGCTGCTCTTCTGTTATCCTCCACGGTTCATCTGGGTAATTACTGCTGTTATCTTGTGGTTCTCTCTCCACTGAAAAAGACTTCAAAAATAAATAAGCAAATGCTTAGAGAATCTCTCTTTAGTGAGATGAAGTACAAATATTAAACACCCATAAAAGTACCATGCATTATACTTATTTTTTCCCAAGGGAATAATTTAAATGCCTTATAACTGGAAGGTAAACTTCTGAAGAGCCGACCCTCATGCTTTGTAGTTTTTTGTATTTTCCAAAGTTGTTAACGGGACTGACTGAGCATGAAAGACTAAACACTCAGTGAGTGATGAAAATGTTTCCAATGTAATGAAGGAATGGTAGAAAAATGATTGTTCTTATCTTCAAATATTCACATTTTGATCCTTTTGGATAGCTGAGTAGATAGCAAAATAATCCATTCTTTTTAAACCATACAATAGTCTAGATAAGATATAACTGCATCATTTTTTTCCTGAGACATTTCCATTGTATAAATTTGGGTATTAAAAGCTTTTATTCAAATCCCACCTCCCAAGTCCCACTCAAGAAGCAAGTCAGGATCACCCAACCCCTCAGCCCGCATTCGTGAGCTGCGGTTAATATTTAGTATTGGAGCTAATGTTATACCATCAGGAAGAACAATGATATGACAACAAATGGGGTAACAGGGGTGCATCAGACATGCCACTAGGGGGCGTGCAAGCCAAAGTTGAGGCTTTAAGGATGGGGAAAACCAGAGAAATGGTGCAGGAGAAAACAAAGCTTGGCTGCACTGTGGGAAAAGAAGCAAAAATGGTGATTCTAGAAGGAGGGGCCCGGGGATATACTCCATCCTTCCCATCTACTCTAAGGCTAAGGAGCTACTGCAAAGAGACACCTTCACAGAACCAAGAGGTCAACACAAGGAGGGTAAGCCATTAGGACAAAAGTAGAGTAGAAAACAAAAGGAAAAGCCATTACTGCTAATAAACTATCAGGTTGCCACTTATGAGCGCACTATCAAGGAATTAATCATTAGGAGGGCATTCTCTCCACTATCCCTAGAAAAGAAAGCAAACCATCTCTGCCCTGTTCCCCTCAAAATACACACCACATTCCAGGAAGTTATTGTTCCCAGAAACACCTGGCTCTTTCTGATGACATTCAGAGAAGAAATGAGACTATAAAACTTTGAGCTGTGCTATAATCTTGAGACGTTATCTCTGAAGTTTTCATACTAGGTGAGTTTCTACTCAATGTAAATCAAACCATTTTTTAAATGTCCTGGAAGCCACTATCCACATTGAGTTATGTTAAATTCAGAGTGCTTTAAAATTTACAAAGCATTTCGCAGATCCCTATGTCATCCAGCATCTCAAAAAACTGGACAGGTAGAAACAGGAGGTACCACATCCTTTTCCCAGATAAGGAAACTGAGGCTTAGAGAATTTGAGAGACTAATCCATATCCTTAGGTGAACCCTGCAATCGGCAAATAACTGCCCTCTTATTTATCTGTTGTTCAAAGCTAGGCTCTTGGCGTATCAGGTTGTTTTGTATTCTTTGTAACTGGGTTGCTACCATCTGAGTTATTTTCAGAAAACCCCTATTCATTACGGTAAGAAACAAACAATATAAAGAAATAAAGCAAGGAAGATCAAAAGTCAGTCTGAGCACCCAATGGACCACACAACTTTCCAAAACACTCCCACCAAATTGCAGAGCCAAAATGAAATGGTCCAGGCAGCAATTTCTGAATGAGCCCAGATGTCTGAGCAGGTTCCAGAGACAGAACCCAGGGTTGAGGCTGTCAGTGTGTGCTGGACTGGGTTCCTGGCCAGATGGTAATATCTAGAGCTACAGGAGCACTGCTCTCCAGGTCAGCACTGATAGAAACAGCTGCAGTAAAAAAAAAACAACAACGAAAAAAACACCACACACACACACAGAAAAATTTAGGCATGGAGGGAGGCAGGAGAGAAAAGAACAGCCACCTACGAGTAAACACTTAAGCAGGCAGAGGTGGTTCACAAAGCCAGTGGGACATAAGTGGAAAGTTCAGTCTCACTGCTGTCTTGAGAATGAAGGTGCCAATATCTCTATGGTGCATATGGCTGCTGTGTTCCCTGGTTCTTACATGGAAGCTACTACTGCCCTGGAATATATTCCTTCCCTCCAGGAACTGAAGCTGCCCATATTCAGTTGTTGTTGTTAGTGTCAGCCCATGTTTGTTCTTTCTCCAATTCCAGGACCACTGCTCGCTCTACTTCCTCTCCCACAGGAATTCCTCTGTTTAAAAACTTACAGGATGACCTATTGCCTCATTTTTCAAAATCCACCTTCTCCACCTGGCCTTTAGGGCCCATATAATGTAGCCTCCTCCTAGCTCACTCTCAGCAGGCTTCTGATTGCTCACTCTTCATGTTTCAGATTCGTGTCTATGTCCTAGGATACCCTTCCTCTGATTCAGCCTGCTCAGATCCCACCTATCAAGTCCCTCTGTCTCAAAGGTTCTCTGACATACTTGCCAGGCCCACAGCCACTGCAAAGGGCACTGCAATCCCCCAGCTCTGCTGTAATGGTGGGCCTGGCAGCCACATGTGTACTGCATGACCACTTCATCTCTCGGTCTCACCTGAGTCTGAGTGCCAGGGGCACACAGCTGCTCACCTGTGGGATGCTCTGGCATAGAAAGCTCTCCTCTAGTAAGAACAGCATGGGCTAGGTACTCGTTCTTTGGGATGTGGATAAAAAATATGAAGACCAAGAAGCAGGGAGAGCAGACCCTGAACACTGCACCTTCTGTAGATGTATGGGCCATGATGTAAAATAAGGGTCACATTGGACTTAAAGCCATGAGGGAGCCAGAGCCAAGCATAAGCAGAATCTGTGAAGTAGAGAAGTACTAGAAAGAGTAGGGGCCGGGGATGGTTGTTGGCAGGCAAGTAAGTGGACAGCAAAGACAACTAGGGCAAAGGCTTGTTCATGGCAGACCAAGCGTGAACAACCAAGAACTCCTGCTCCTCGGAACCACTCCTTGTCTCTCATTTCTTGGATTCCAATCTGAATCCTAATTCCTCCTCCTTTTTGAGAAAACTTAAGCTGGCAAGAATAGCTCCTATTCCCTACAACTAAAAAGGTCTTACAACAACGAAAGAGGGCATGTGGACATTGTGTAACATGTATATTGTGCAGCCCTTCTAGTGGGTTTCACTAAACATGTTAACCTATCCCCTTCTCTTTCTCCCTGCTTCTCACAGAATGTTTTAACTGACTTAATAAACCAAGTGACTTAAGCATCATAAAGTTATGAATCCTTATTATACTTATAATATCACCATTTTGAACATTTATTGTTCTTGGTTTTCATCACTCAAGTTTCAACCTGGAAGGCTAGAACTGTATCATACATTCCTTTACTCCAGACAAAGTCCCTGGAAGGCACATTGCAGATGCTAAAAATTAATATGAGGTCCACTCTTTGACAGGCTCTGGTAAGTTCAGGGGTATTTCTTATATTGAAAGAGATGCAGAAAGGCTACTCCACATTGTGCTTAATGGAAGAAAATTTGTGAGTCCAGTTCATAATCTCAAGTTTGGGATCTATCAAAAGAAGTCCCTAACTGCCTTCCTGTAGTTTACCAATGGTCTAATGGCTATGGGGAGTTCTCAAGTTCTGTATCCATTAAGTGAGTATTTCAGGGACAGGTAAGGGCATATGGAAAGGGTAGATCACATTCCACATACCCTTAGACTGAAATATTCCAAAAGAAAGCTGATCCATTTAGAAAAAGCAAAATGATCTGAACTCTGCTGCATAAAGTGACCCGCTCATTCATTCATTCATTCACAGATACTTACTGAACACCAACAATATCCCAGACACTAATCACTAGGAATACACTGATGAACAAACACATTCTTTTTCCCAAGAAGCCTAAAGTCCACTTAGGGAGAAGTATAGGCAATCTCAAAACGGTGAAGCACATGCTATGGTAACACAGGGTACGCTAGAGCTTCGCTACTCAAAGTGTGGCCCTCAGACCACCCACATCAGCATCACCTGGGTACTTGTTAGAAATACTGAATCCCAGGTCCTACCCCACACCTAGTGAATCATAAAGTGTGGGAGTAGAACCCAGGAAGCTGTGGTTTAACAAGCCCTTCAGGTGATTCAAAGCACACTTGAGTTTGAGAAGCAATGCTAAAGACTATGCATGGCAAGGCAAGCAAAAGGAACAGCATTTGCAAAAACACCCCCAAAATAAGAGGAAATAGACATCTCCTGAAAGTAGTTCACTTGGGCTACATATAAATAAGCTCGGCTGCCAGTACAGAGAAGATGTTAGTGTAATTGCCTCGAGATGGTCCAAACAGAAAGCAGGTCCCAGATCACAAAGGCCCAGGTGTACCAGGTTAACAGGTTTAGACTGTATCTAGAAAACAGGGAGCCACAGCTAAGTATTAAACAAGATGCTGAAATCATCAGATTTGAGTTACAGGAAAAAAAAAACATTTCAGTGAGGAGAATGGAGGGGGGAAAGACTAAAGGTAAGATCATTTAAGGCCATATCAGTAACTGCGGCTCAAGGTCAAAGTGATCCCAGGGTAAGGAGGGTTATGACAGAAGTAAGACAAAAGGGTCGTAAGGCCACCACCAGAGAAAGACCTATTATAGTAGTCAGGTGGCAGCTCAGAACCTGTCTATCAGCAGCTAGGGGGCATCTCCTTGCAGGACCCAGAGACATGGAACCATCTCCTCCAAAGGAATCCAAAAGTGAACCACAACAATTAACCCAACTTTTCAGATAAAGTCAGTCACCTAAATCAGAATGTCTAATTGCAAAGATTGAAGGAAGGCACTGAGAAACAGGGGTGGGTGGGCTGTGAAGCCTTTGGCTTCCAAGTAGAAACCAGAACCAGAAAAAGCTCCACTTCTGCATGTGCCCTAAGAGACCTCCCCCATTTCAACTCCAGCTCCAGTGGTTTGGTTGGCTGGGTGGAGATATTTGCTGCTTGGTGCCAATTTTGAGTTCTGCCAGCATTTTTAAGAAAAAATAAAAGGAGAGAGAGAAATCATCCACATCT